TCCTGAACCCCATACACAGCAACACCAGTGAGGTAATATTCGCCACCGTGCGATCCGTTCGTCCATGAGCAGGAGGTGACAGACAATACTTCACGCTAATGGCGAACACGCGAGATTCTGAGTTCTCATGACCTGGACATTCGTCTTCATATTGGACACGTGTCCTGTGTGCCTTGTCATCATTTATCAAGTGTTCTGATGACGAAGTGAATGTTTGTTGCTTCCCACACAAAATGGTTATGCGTTTCAGCTGTGGGGGTATATTTTCTCCCGTTAACTTCGGTAGTCACCGACGGAACCTAACGCAGTGACTTGCATTGAATTGTGACTCTACTTACCAGGGGTGGCTGAAACGTTTTGAGCCTTGTTACGAAGGATGTATAGTACACTCTTATATTTCAATTGCATGTACTAAGTATATCACTCTTACAGGCTGCAGTTGAACCATAAACACAACCAGGCAGCATATTTCTGCAGGCATCAAAGCGGCTAGGTATTCTCTGTTGATGAAAATGAACACAACTGGCTACCGCGCTGTCACCAAGTATCTCCAGCTGAAAGGATTAACTCTAACAGCCCTCCATGCAGACATGGTGTCACCATCAGGGGATGCTTCTCTCCACTATTTAAGAGCAAGTAAACAAACGGCAATAGCGTTCACACGGTAAAAAATGACAGGCGATATCGTCCCCCAAACGACAATATTGCCACTGAGGAAATTTACTTCAGTGGGTTTAAAACGGGTTCCCGTTCTTAAACGCACTGGGCAATTTCTACGTCGGGCCGGCGCCCAGTTTGCCTTCTTCCTCCTCGGATTTTTCAATCGCATTTGGGACAAATAAGAAAATAGTGTGTTCAGTGTCACCCTTTTTATCAATTTTTATTTCATATTTTAAAGTAAACGCATGTTAGATGTACGTATGTACGGATGTATGTTGCTTAGACAAACACGATTGATTTATTCTTCCGCCAGGTGCTGGACAAATAGGGTTTCGACGTTTACGGTACTGAAACAGGATGTAAGTCATTAAAAGCATGTTACAGGACTTAAATCGTTTTTTTAAGGAAACACAATGTCAAGATCAAAGGTATGATTTCAACACGTTTCCTTGACATTTCAGTAATTTCTACGATTGTTATATTTTTTCTCTCGGGAATTGACTTAATATGTCGAGGACGCAATAATAGTTTGCACTTTACTAACCATATAAGAGGGGACGGGAGAGCCTCGAAGATGATCCAATATCAAGAAAACCTTCAACTGCCTCCACAAAGGAAACTGTTAATAAAATACATATGATTAAGAATTATCATCGATTCACCAAGCGTCACAAAGTCAATATAGTAGGCATCTCTCAGTTGGGAACATTTTGAGGATTTAATTGGGCATGACAAAGGCCTTGGTTCTGATCAGATGCGCTACACGTTCATCATCTCTCGTGAAAATTGACATCATTTTAAAGCATACCAAGCTGAGTTTGTTGAATAGGGTTTGTAAAAATTGACATGACACTTTACCTTTACACTTCGTTTGTGTGTTTCATTTTGAAAGTATATCAGATCCAATACTCATTTCAAAATACATTAATTAATCACCCAAGTATCCATAACTATGGGCGCTGGTTTTAGCAATGTCCAACCATATCACAGCAGGTGGTGGGAGGTCACCATAAATGGTATCCAGACATTGAACCCAGGTTGGGAATTGAACCCAAACTCATGCGTGATGAACCAACACTTTACTGACTAGGCATACCTGAATCCCATTTTGCATAACAAGAAAGAGGACACTTAATCAGTTTACAGTTAAACCTAGTTAAGTCGAACCAGATTATCTTGTTTAAGGAGGTGTCACTTCTGGTCACCTAATAGTCTTATATCGGTACTCCGCTTGTCTCGAGAAACGGATAAATCGACAAACAAGAACCTAGAGCTAAGGCAGTTCACTGCTTTGAAGATTTAAATAAAAACCGTACAAATACACCGTTAGGTGAATAGCTTTCTTATTTATTTTTCAAACTCCGTGTATGTGAATTATATTCAATAAAACGAGTGTGCAAGTATGACTTAAGCACTTACCGAAATCAACAGCAGCCAGAGCGCAAAAAGCACACCCAAACAGTGTGCCGGCCAATATCTACAAGTAGACATCGTATCTATAACTCGTCATCAGAGCTGTTCTGGATGGAGGGTTGTCTCACATGTACCGTTCACTGTTCAGTCCACTGATATCTAAACCCCAAGAGATTACCGGAGACTACAGACGTTTGCGCGCACATATGTTGTGACGTATATTACACGTGACTAAATCCTTACTTAAATCGCACCAGGGCGAATGTGGGTCCGTGTTTAATACTTCCTCAGCCTATGATGTGTCACTGAATTTGAGGAAATACTTGTGGTAAATATTTACTTCCATTACTCACATATGTCTGGATGCACCGTGCAACGCCTGCTATTGCATGCTATTTTTCCAGCTCATTCAAATTCATGATGAAGTCCATTTTGGCATGTGCAGTAATATCTTGCTCAGCAAGTGTAAATACTAGCCCTGGGAACCATACCTTATATGTCCTGGTCGCCTGTTGCTGTTTACTGCAGTCGCCAAACAAAGAGAGCGTCGCTAAACAAAGACAGCGTTCTCACTGCGAAGTGTTATTGTATTCATGGCGCACGAAGATGGAAGTGATCTGACTGAATTGCGTGTGGACAAAAACAGCTATGAAAGTAAAACTGTAACATAACATCTTTTGATTACGTGAGTGTTGTGTCACTCCGCAATCAGCAATACGGCAGCTCTATCAGGGCGGCCTGTAAATAGCTAGGGACCAGAAAAGCCAATGCTAGACAGCATGAACAATCACACACTGATAACCAGGCCACCCATTATATAATCACCAGATCCTCTTCAACTGTTTCTTATGGAGTAGAACATGATGGCACAAATGCAATATTATTAGTGAGTATGGTTTTACGGCGCTATTGCTAAACAATATTCCAGCAATAGCACGGCGGGGGAACAACAGAAATGGGCTTCACACATTGTACCCATGTCGGGAATCGAACCTGGGTCTTCGGCGTGACGAGTGAACTCTTTAACCTCGAGGCTACCCGACCACCAATATTAGGAAGAGCATCCCCAAGACAATAAATGTGTCGACCATGTCCGTGGTACGCCTTCTACTCGTTTGATGATGGGGTAAGGTGTAGTTATTGGTCGTCATGAAAAACAGATTAATTTACACAATATCTGCATCACTTCGGGCATTCCTCACACATGAAGTTGACACCCGTGTTATAACTGAAATACTGCCCAAAGGGGCGTAAACCCCAAAACGTTATTGAAAACGTCATGACTGATGAAGAATACTTTTCCACAATGTTTTAATTACGTGATGTTTCCATTATTTATTAAGATTGAAACAAGCCACATATGTCCTCTGTTACATCCCACTTCGATTGCCAAAGAAACAGTTCACTCTAAGCATTGAACATGATAGAATGAGTCCGCCATCAATATAATAAACTGCCTTTAATGCGTAAGTGAAACTACAGAGGCTACACATATGTTACTATTTATACATTACAGTTACATCTTAATTACGTGACGCAAATAGAACGACATCGCTAAAGTATAAACTCTGCTGCAGAGATGACTTGGAAGTTTTGGTTACCAAGAAGCACATATGTATCCACTTTGAACATTGTAAAGGCTAATTAAAGACTAAGCATATAAGTATATTTATTCCAAGAACGATATCTTTACAGTGATATATATGGATGCGTCCTCGATCAAGTCTATGGACTGCCTTAAAAGATGTATCAAAGGCCTGACTCACCGTGTTTTATCTGTTAGTTTCGGATCTGTTGTGTTGTGGAAATACAGTGAAAAAGCGAAGTTAGTCAATGTTGTTTTGCAGCCAGCAATGTCACGGCGGCATGTAAACAATCCGCTATCAGGGATACAGTGAGATACAATCGGTCTGCTCACACATTGAAACGAACCTGTCTTCATTGTAGTCGTCTCTTACAACAAACATGGAAGATTGGTGACGTTTCCCCGTACCTCAATGGGTATGGATATGGCAATCTATTATATCATACATTGATTGAGAAATAATTGTGTAGTAACGCCAAAATATTAGCTAAGACATTTTTTAAACAGGTCCATCCTCACATTGAATGACCAAGCCACACATAGTTGATCAATGTGTTTTTCATGAAGTGGGAAATTGACTCAAGTCTTGGTTTGGGTTTGGCGCCATTTCATTCATATTACAGAAATCTCATTTTGTTATCTGGAACGATTACTCAGCTACTCTAATGTCAACAAGCGCGAGTTCTCATTTTTATTAATGTCGATTGTTTCGAGAATATTATTCAAGGAAATAGAAATCTTATAAAATTGTTTACAATGCATGTATGGACGACCATTGTCTGCATGTATTATCAGTTATTCTTTGTCTAGTAATCGCTGCATGCGCCTTGTGTTTCGTGCCTCACCTCTCTCCAAAAGTTGAGATGCACAAGTCTCGTGAATAACTTGACAGTGAATAAACACAACTTAGAGATTATTCTTTTTTGCAAACTTGAGTGAGTGAGTGAGTGAGTATGGTTTTACGCCGCTTTTAGCAATATTCCAGCAATATCACGGCGGGGACACCAGAAATAGGCTTCACACATTGTACCAATGACGGGAATCGAACCCGGGTCTTCGGTGTGACGAGCGAACGCTTTAACCACTAGGCTACCCGACCAAACTTGAACTTGCTGCTAGTCTATAATGATTAAGACACACCTGCATATATCTGATACGATATGTACATCATGTAATTGATCCCTATTTACCAACTAGTCTCCATATCTATCTGGATCAGTAAATATAAAAAAAATTATCAGTATTTATAAATGGCTGAGTGAGGTCGGAGCGAGTTGGGTTTTACATCGCCTTAAGCAATATTCCATCCAAATCGATCATTATACCCAAGTGGGAGATCGAACACAGGCCTTTGGCGTGACGAGCTGGCCCTTTCACAACAGACTACCCCTACCGGCCCAGGTTTGCGTTTATGTTTTCGTGTCCCACATTCATTACATCACACGCAAACAGATTCTACATATTGTGTGCTCATCATGGGATTAGAACCCGGTCAGCCGCCGTGCAAGTCAATGATTCAACCACTGAGCTATCAACCGATTCTGACACACTCGGATAGTTGCGATGACAGTGCGGTGTTGGCATTCCGGTCTGCCATCAGTCTCATGGCAGAGATGCTTTTAATGTCTTACATTATCTATAGTATATTAGATCAGAATGGCATCAAACACAGTGTTCATGTTAACTATAATTAACGCTAAGAGCTGATTTAGCAAAGTGAAGTGTGTCAAATATACATAAAACGTCAACCTCAGAGAGAAAAACTAGTCTAGCATAACAGAAATTGGGCGTATGACCAAATTACTGGCGAAAAAATATATGAATGGATCACTAAAAACCCACTGACACCAGGTGATAACGATACACATGTCCTTTCGTTATTCTTATTAGTTGACAATACTTCGTCCGGGGTAACCAAAATTATGTGCTTAAAACAACAACATCGACATAAGGGTCTTCCTCTGAGATGTTCTCAACATCGGTGTCATCCGTGACAGTGCTGTCTGTATCCTCTTCCTCACAATGATCGAGCTGTTCATAGTTGATGGTCTGACGCAGATGGAGCACATCAACAGGCAGATGTGCAGCGACATGATGGCGAGCTTCGAATGTCGCTTCGTCATGAAGATGCGTGTTGACAGATTCCGAAACGCTTGCACCATGTAGACTCGACAGGTCAAGGGTCATATCTCCAGTTCCGTTGTGGATATTTATTGTGGCATGGCGGTGAATATCGAGTGGTGTTATGTCACCATGACGTGCGTTGTCATCTAGAGAAACGCTTGCAGCCTCTTGGCTCCACGGGACAAGGGTCATATCTCCAGTTGCTCCGTGGATGTTTGATGTGTCATCACAGTGTGTGTCGAGTGCCCCTTCATCTACGTCATGGAAGTGAAGACATGGATTACCATCTGGAGATACACTTGCACCCTGAAGACTTCCTGTAATTGTACCAGGTCTGTTTGGGTTCCTGTTGCGTGGCAAATCCATCCCAAATGAGTTGATTTGATCGTTTTCGTCGTCTATGCATTGTGACGTGTCTCTTGAAATTGGAAAAATAACAGTTGTTCACTTCAATGCTTGATAAAATACAAACGAATTTTTTTCGAATGTTATTAATGCCCAGAGCATTGTAATAAATCATATAAGTTTTATGTGCCCGCTTAACGAGTCTATAAAGTTCAGGGCTACATATATCTACAACATAGCTATGAAATCATTATTTAAAACCCCAAAGTGCGCTCCCTGTATCGGTATATATCAATACGATGCAAGAGAAAAATATCTTAACATTTATGAAACTTTACTGGTCGACATTTCCCTTAGCCGTGTCCCACGTGTTTGGGGTCTAATGAATGGTGTCAGAAACAGAAAATTGTTTCAGACTTACAAATAAATATCTCTAAAAGGAGGAGCCGAGCAATGTATTCAGGACATCCAACATCGTGTGCAACCATCTTTTGTATGTAAAACCTGAGGTTAAACTATATTCTTTCAAAACAATCCTAGTTCATTTGGACGGTGCATGATATGTCTTGAGGGATTAGATCGATTGTATTAAAAGGTCTGATTAGAAAGTTCTTCAGAATGCCTGTCGTCATTGACACCTCTCTTTGTACAACGCAATATGTTAATCAATTGGTATGTTATGTACCACTTACGATTTTCTTTTCAAGATGCCAAAAGCCATCAGAGGGAGTACAATCATTAGGACAAGTCCTAAAGGGAGTAGAACGACCAGCACATACTGGTCGGTGTCCCAACTGTCATGTGGTCTCTGAAATACGCACGTATTGACCTGTAGTAATCTGAACTAATCTAATCAAAGAAAGTGTTAGGACATTAACTTGCATATCAAAAAAGAATAGTGAACCCGAGAATAAGATTGAGTTAAGATTTCAAATGTTACTTTCAGAGGCTGCTAAATGGATCGGGTGTTCAGGGTCCGTGACAAGACTGATTAATGGTCATTGTATCTCAAGTAGGTTGATTGTTGCCCATGTCGTAAATCACTGGATTGTCTGGTCTAGCCTCGACAAGTTCAGACCTATGGCTTGAATACTTCTTAGTGTGGCGTCACACAACAACAAAACAAACGAATATACGTCCTTACAAAAGGCAATACATTTTGTATTATTTTGTTATATAGACGTTAACAAGGCATCGACAAAAACCTCTGTTGGCATCGTGTAGTTTACCTTCACCGTCGACTTCTCTTCTTGTCGGGGAGGGTACAACGGAAGAGGCAGATATTCATTGAGGACTTCATCACTGTTGGATTCGAAGATCATATTTACTGAAGCACTGTCCAGAAGGGTGCCGTTCTCCAAAGATGAATAGAGTTGTACGTACGTTGTAGTATAACTGAAATATATATTCAAAACAAACTTAGCTGAGATCGTGACATTCATTGCAAGACGGAATACTCAAATACTAAAGTCAATGTAGGCCCCTATTTGTCGTTCTTGTACAGCAGCATCCTGTTTGTCACTCGGAGGCACGGGGAGTCCAGTTGTCTAAGGCGCCGCAGTTCTCATTGAAGAGTTGCTTCCTTGGGGTACGCCAGGACCTATGATCATGTATTCGAATCCCTGTTTGCCCCGATTTGTCAGCACTATGACCTGCATCACTTGTGCTTTCCTCCCACATTGCGCTGACACGCCATGATATGACCGGAATACTGTTGGCGTTATATCCAACTCACTCATGCAGTCATTCACATACACTCATTCACTGTCTATCACTCACTTGCAATCTGTCTGTGTATTTGCGGTAAACTTGACATCCACTTTTCCTGGAATTTCCCCAAGTTCGGTGATGAGTCTGTTCAAGCCATCAGTCAGGTCACCTCTGTTTGTGTGATCAATCTCTCCTAGGAGCGTGATGTTGACAGTGTCTGAATGCAAAGAACATGAGTTTTTTAGGAATAATTCTAATGACATCCAAAGCCTGTATGAAATAATTATTGAAAATGAAGTCTTTGGCTATCTTTTTCGTTCAAATGTGTTACTTTATTATTAGACAGTTCATGATGACGAAATAGTCATTATAAAAAAAAACATGTGATTTCGCAAAAATAGCATAATTAATCGCCATGAAATCCTCTTTGTCCTAAATTCCGTTTTAATTTTGATAGAACAAGAAATACCTTTACTTTGGTCTCAATGGGTGGATCAGATCCTCATCAACAATCGGGCACGCCAGAAACCTATGATTGTGGGTTCGAATCCCGGTTCGCCCCGATTATGTTTCTAGGTTTGTCAGCACCATACCCGTGCTCGTGGGTTTCACCGAAGTGGTAAACGTCTGAGACCTGCATCACTTCGGGCTTTCCTCCCACATTAAGCTGACACGCCGCGATATAACTGGAATACTGTTAAAAGCGGCGTAAAAACCCAACTCACTCACTCACTCATCAACAATCGTTACATCAAACAATGTACAGAGTCATCTGACTCAATACGTTGGCTGGATACACTGTTCAGAAGGCATATAAAAAACCATGTAACCTGTGTGTTGTCTGACGGCATCTTCAGTTCCTGTTATGTGGCAGTTCATATCGTTACTTTGTTTATGATGATAAACTGACGGGCAAAAGAAACTATACCAAAGTATTTTGGCACTGAACACGAGTTTTCATTGTCAAACAAAATTGCATGAAAGCAGCTTCATCATTACTGAATTTAAAAAATCCTGCATCTTCCCGAATATGGACTTTATCGAGCTTTTTTCATTCAAAATGGGATGCACGTGCATCACGACAAAAATGGTTCGGAGCGGTATAAAATCCGCCAATCTGTATGTTTTACACCACAATCGTACCGACCACAACAGCTGACATGCCGAGACTGACCACACAAGAGCGAAAGAGAGCAATTGGGATGTTGCAGTTGGGAGCACACCATGCCCATGCTGCTTGCATCTTCAACTTCACCAGAACAACGATAACGAGGCTGCAGACACGACTCACACAAACAGGTCGTACAGATGACAGGCCAAGAAGTGGAAGACCCAGGGTCACAACCGCCAATGAAGATCGGTACCTCCGCATCTTACATCTACGCAATCGTTTCGTCACTGTGACGTCATCGGCAGCCACAGCCTTACATCATGTGGTCAGCAGAAGGACAGTTGCCAGGCGTCTTCGACAACACGGTATTCGGGCCTACCGGCACTTTCGCGGGATGACCTTGAGCCGTCGTGACCGACGTAACCGCCTCCATTGGGCAAGAATGGTACAGCGGTGGCAAAACAGGAACTGGCAACGAATTCTATTCTCTGATGAGAGCAGGTTCCAGTTGTATTGAGCTGATGGCCGTGTTCGTGTGTATCGTCGGTGAGGAGAGAGAACAGCCCAATGTTGTTTTCAGGAGACCGTGCCATTCGGTAGTGGAAGCGTCATGGTCTGGGGTTGGATTTGCAGGGACCGTACAACAGACCTGGTTGTCCTTAACCGTAATTTAAATGCTCAAGTCTACATCGACCATGTATTGCGTCCTGTGATGCTTCCCTTCCTCCAGAGGAATCCCAGAGTAATCTTCCAACAGGACAACGCTCGCTCCCACACCGCCAGGAACACCAGAGACTTTCTAACTGCAAATAATGTAAACCTTTTGCAATGGCCAGTAAGATCGCCTGACTTACTGGCCATTGACACCCATTGAGCACTTGTGGGACTATCTGGACAGACAAATAAGGGAAAGAAATCCCCCTCCGCCAAGGCGTCAAACGTTGATTCAGGCACTGTTGGAAGAATGGCGAGCCATCCCCAATGACGTCATCAGGGATCTAGTAAACTCCGTGCGGCGACGTGTCCAAGTCTGTATTTAGAGCAATGGAGGCCATACAAGATACTGACAGTAATGCATTTGTCAGAAAAATGCGTTTTCTGTTTTCGTTCAGATGATTTGTTTATTTTGCAAATTGACATTTACCCCTTTGGTCATTCCTAACCTGATGTTGAAATTCCTGTAAATGCCACCTTTGTGGAATTTGAATCAGAACATTGTCAGATAAATTTTCTTTCCAACTCGTAACACTATATTTTTGTGATATATTTGATAATGTTGTCAACACCAAATCAATGTTGGTATAGTTTCTTTTGCCCGTCAGTTTATTTAGTGGTAAATTGATTGAGGCGCTCGTATTATATTGACCTTGGTAGTGACTTGATAAAGATTGACCTCCCTTGGATGTTACATTCGTCACCACTCGCCCCTTTCCGTAACCTGCAAGATGACCCGTCCCCCTATCGATGAATGTTATGTGCGAAAATACGACAAACCAATCAGAATAGCGTATGATTTCAAGTTCTTCGTCAAAGAATCCCTCAGAAACATTTTTTGATTTTACATAGGTCTTGCATCTAGAAATATACCCAAGACACAGTTTAATGTGTTCAATCATACTGTATAATTCCGCTTGTCCCGATGTGCTTTAAATTGCATCTGAAATATATATAATATATGGAGAAATATATGTGAACCATTACGCAACTAGTTGACGATTGTTTTTGGTATGCCCGTTTGCGCTGAGACGGATGCCGGTCGCATAAATGGCCACGTGAGGGCACGAGTCCTATTCGGCTTGTCCCGGAATAACACGAGTTGGTCACGAATGTGGATGTTAATGGTCAACCTCCATCCCAGCGCGTGACGCCTTCGCTGCTATCACAGTGTTGAGTGTTCCGCTGTGGGGAACTTGCCTACTTCCTTGTTTACATTTGTTGATGTACGACATTATTCAAGTATCGCGAATTCTCTAGTAGGCAGTGGGGCACAGGTGACCCAGTCGTCTGAAGCGCCGCGATTCGCTGTGCAGAGTTGCGTCCCTTGGGCACGCCAGAAACCTATGAATTTGGGTTCGAATCCCGGTTCACCCCAATTATGCTTCTAGGTTTGTCAGCACCATACCCGTGCTCGTGGGTTTCACCGAAGTGGTAAACGTCTTCGACCTGCATCACTTCAGGCTTTCCTCCCACATTAAGCTGACACGCCGTGATATAACTGGAATACTGTTAAAAGCGGCGTTAAACCCAACTCACTCACTCTAGAAGGCAGCTGTACCTGTATAAGTGCGAGACGAGGGCGTCCACCTACTTGCCTAGTCTGCCTGTCTGCTGGATTCGGGAATGCAGCACGGGACTCACTCAAGACATTCATATTAACATATAAGACAACATTTCACCTACCCACACTTTGGCTGCATCTTTCCCCTACCCATGCAAAATCACAATCACACTTGAACCCAGTTGCCGTCAATAGGTCCGGTGTACAATTCCCTCTGTTACAGGGGGCGCTGGCACAGAAATTAACCATCTCTTCGCATCTCTCTCCAGTCCACTCAACTGAGCATGCGCAGTTGAAGCCTGTTTCGTTTCCGCTGCATGTTCCTCCATTCAGACATGGCTTCAGTGCACACTGGTTGGTAATGTTTTCACATCGTCTTCCTAAACAAAGTTGTGGAAGTATATAGTGAATAACAAGCAGCATATGATATGGGACTTAATGCCGCGTTCAAAATTATTGCACATTTTGAACGACATGCATGCAGATGTGTGTTGGGCTGCAGTTTAACATCGATACCCAACTCAGACAGAGTATACTGATTTTGAGGCGACTTGTTTTAGTCCCTTTATGTCGAACGCCAGACAGGGAAGCAACAAGTACCATCTTTTTACGTTGGTATGACGCGGATCGAAACTTCGCCCCCAACCTTCCACTGTTTAGGCAGACGCTCTACCACTAGACCAAAGAGGTGGTCTATACGACCAAATAAATAAAGACTGCTTGCCATCGAAACTGCCCACTGAGTATTGTTGCAAAAAAAGGTTTTTAACCCTTGTTCCTCTGTGGAGTTACGACCCGTGAAGATTCGGAGTAGAATAAGATCTTCTGCAACCCACGCTTGCCGTACCAGGCAACTATGCTTGTCGTAAGAGGCGACTAATGGGATCAGGTGGTCAGGCTCACTGAATTGGTTGATGCATGTCATCGATCCCAATTGCGTTGATCGATGCTCATGATATTAATCACTGGATTGTCTGGTCCAGATTCGATTATTTATAGACCGCCATCATATAGCTGAACAATTGCGGAGTGCGGCGTTAAACAACAAACCAACCAGCCAACTATGGTGTTACAGGCGGTGTTTCAAGCAGTTATACCTTGTATTTCTGCGCTAAATATATTTGAAAAATTGCTTGCACATATGGATCTGTGTGCATAAGCCCGCGTTCGTGTGTGCTTGGTTACGGGGTTTGTGTGTGCGCATGTGTGTGGGCTCATATTTTAGAAAATGGGGGAGCACTTAAAAAATATAATATTAACAAAAATAATTCGGGAAGCAAATTAGTCCATTTATTGCTACTTTTTGGTTTATGTGTTTAATACTTCGACTCGATTACTCGACTGGTATCCTTAAAAAAAGGTCTGTTATAGGGGAGGTTGTGTGGGGAGTAGGAACCTTGCACTCCCCACCCCATCTCTCCCCGCCTATAGAGATTTTAGGCAGTTGTTGAAACTATGTATTACTACCATACCAATGAGGGGGACATGAATTTCACATGTAACCGTAGAATCGTAAGATGATATGCTGTGTGGCCTGTTCCTCTTAGGAATCCAAATGTAGATTAATATCCGATAGTCTACTCACCTTTGATCCCCTCGATACAAATGCACTCAAACCTTCCGGGTGTATTTGTGCAACTGCCTCCATGTTGACACATGTTACTTCCTGCGCATTCATTGATGTCCTGATCGCAGTTATTGCCCTCCCAACCTGCAATTGTATTACTGAAATGAAGCATCACTTGGCGATACCATGTTAATCAGGACACCGTAAGTTCCCAAATCCACTTTATGATCAGTGTAAGATGAATGTCTAAATATGGACATGGATTTTACTCCATCCCAATGAATCATTAATCCTGAATGATTTAATCCGAGCGGACGGATAACAGGGTCTAAATATACAGTTAACTACGGTTATAACGAACTCAAAGGGACCAATATGTGTTGTTCGTTATAAGCGTTAAAACTAAAGCGGAAAAAAGCAGTTTACTATACGTGGAGACCACTTTAATGCGAAAGGGTCGTAATACAAGACAAAGACAATCGCACTTTCTTTTGAAATTTAATGTATAATGCAGTAACAAACTCAACACTGACATC